GGTGACTTTGGGCCAATCACCAAGAGACTCTGAATTCTAGTCCCACCTTAGGCATAAAAGTCGGCTAGGTGACTTTGGGCCAATCACCAAGAGACTCTGAATTCTAGTCCCACCTTAGGCATAAAAGTTGGCTAGGTGACTTTGGGCCAATCACCAAGAGACTCTGAATTCTAGTCCCACCTTAGGCATAAAAGTTGGCAGGGTGACTTTGGGCCAATCACCAAGAGACTCTGAATTCTAGTCCCGCCTTAAGCATGAAAGCTGGCTGGATGCCTTTGGCCCAATCACAAAGACTCTGCATTCTAGTCCCACTTTAGGCATGAAAGTTGGCAGGGTGACTTTGGGCCAATCACCAAGAGACTCTGAATTCTAGTCCCACCTTAGGCATGAAAACCAGCTGGATGACTTAGAGTCACTGGTAACAAGACAGGTGGCAAATAAATATTCAATGATTGATTGATTGATTGATAAAGCTGCATACTCCATTTTCAGGGAAAGTCCCATCCCAGTCCCAGCAGAAAGTACCTTTACATATGTCCCACGGGGTTGTGCCCATCTCCTAATCCTGCATGAGATGCCGAAAGTGCCATCTGGGGATCACCCACCACGCCAGACACTTTCTCCTCTTCACGACGTTTCAAGCAAGCTGCTTTAGGGTTCAGATTGCGTTCTGGGAGAAAAGAGAAGAAAAAAAACACGCGCCATGGGAAGGAGGAGAAAACCTAGACGGGGGTAAAATATCTTGCAATGAACAAGGTCTTTCTGCTGTCCTCCCCAAGAAGCATAGGAATAGAAAAACAGAGGCTGAACATACATGCTGCTCAAGGGAGAGAAAGGATCCCAGCAAGGGAAACAGCAGGGTTTGGGGAAGCTGCAGTAAGGCTGCCGCTACTAGATTTTGACTGCTATGGAGGCAGATGGTCACTAGATGGCAGCAAAGAGAAACCAGACAATTCTCACCCTTTGCTGCCACCTAGTGCTCAGCCAGTCTGTAAGCAGGCAACCGCTTACTCTGGATAGCAAGTTCAACAGGCTATGCTTAAGACATATGCATACTCCCACCTCTGAAGAGTCATGGGCTGTTTAGCCTTCATTCTAGACACAGAATGATCCTCAGCCCTTTGAGGATCATTTCCGCAGTGGTCCGCGTGCAGCCGACAAAGCAATAAAGCAAAGCAAAACCTAAGAAGAAGACGTTGCAACTGAAACCATTCCGCTTAGCGCCCCGAGCAAAGGACGGAAGGGACAGGCATAGAAGACACTCATGCGAAGAAGGGCACGTGGGGGGACATCCCGGAAAGAGACAGCCTCCCACCCATGCAAGAGAATGACCTCAGGGTGGTGGGGCACCCCTAGTGCCGTACCTCGTACTTGCTGTTCCAAGCCTAGAATGACTTGTACTGCTTGCTGAAGGATGATGAGTTTGGTCTGTGCTTTGTCTGTTTTTAAGTGCATCTGGCACATGCGTCCCAGCTCTTTAAAGGCCTCGTTAATGTCCCGTACGCGCACCCTCTCCCTTGCATTATTGGCCATCCGCCTCTCCCGGTCCCTCAGATCTTTGTCCTCCAGGGATAGCGCCTCATCCGTACTGCTGGGTTCACACAGCACCACAGGGGTTAGTCAGGGAGCAAAATGTGACTTGGGAATCGGGGTGGGGGAGAGAGAGGGAGGGACGGTGCCAAGGTGTGGTGGAAAAATGTCCACGGGAGGCCACTACAAGCCAAGACAGGGCCAGGCCAATTGATTATAGGGAAACCCTTGAATCTGCGCCATAGAGATAAGAAGCTGCCAAGGCCTCTGGGGCAGGAGTAAGTTCCTCTGCCCTTTATTTCCTAGATGGTTTATTTAAAGAAACAGAAGACTTTTACATGCGAATCAATCCCTTCTTTCATCGGATGAAATGCTCAACGCTAAAGCAAGGACTCTCCTTTGCAAGTCGAGCGAATCACGGTTTGAGGACAACAAAGCCACCAGTAATGCAAAAGTGGGAACTTCATCTCCCTCCCCCAAAGATTGGCTGAACAACAGATTCCCCACTGCTATAGTAAAGATTTAAGCCTTACATATTAGGAATCTGTATTGTTGTAATTCCTCCCCTCCCTGCCATCACCAAAAATAAAAACAGCAGTCTATGATGCCACTTGAACACCATGAGCCCTCAAAGAAATAAAAATAAATACCAAGAAACAGTGCAGAAAGGTTGCCCCAGCCCATCCAATATCTCCTCAGTAAACTGACCCTCACACAGGTAGTCCTCGACTTACGACTGATCGATGTTAACAACCAACCTGAAAAAGGGGAACCTACAACCTAAATCTGACGTTCCAACAGTCAGGCCATTTGCAAGGTCTTGTGGTCACACGACTGCCTTCTATGATGGTTTTGCCCCAAAATGCGAAACTTGCGACTGGTTTTCAGCAAAACCATGCCCATAACAAACCACTGGCTTGCTTAACAGCTGAATCACCTCCACAATAAAGTCATAAATGCAGGCTGGTCACGTGAGCGATCCATTTTATAACCATTACAGCTATGTGTCAGATGCAAGAAATCAGGAGAGCCAGGATAGAGTTCAAAGTTTAAAGCACCACAAGTTTATTCCGTGCAACGTATATGCAATAATCTGATCTACTAACAGTCAAGGCAAATTGGCACCAGGTAAGAGTCAATGGACTTCAAGAAGGGCTGGACTTAGGTCTTTTTAGGGGAGGGGGTAGTAACTCCAAACTTATGATGTGTTTGACCACATCCTTGGGCTCAGCCTGGTCATCTCCTACCTCATGACCGTAATGGGCAGGCTGTTCAACTTTTACTGAGCAGCTCTAACCAGTGGGAAGGATCAGAGAGAAACACCTGGTCCATGTTCCTTCAAATGCTCTTCAATCAGTCAAGGTACTCCAGCACGGTTGCCTAATGTGTGTTTGAACGCTGAAATCTGAACCTCATCATTAGGAACTTAAACTTCATTTGTTGAGTGCCTTAAGTGATTCCTGGTTTCTTCAGTTCATGGGAAAAAACATTGGACATGAAAGCAGAATGAAAAAGGAAGTTCAGGCAGGAAAGACCCAGGAGCACAAGCAGAGGTGGTATTTTCTGCTGGTTCGGTCCGGTGTGCCCGAACTGGTACTGGTAATTGTGGGGGAGAGCGGGGGATGCCCTTATGCCGTCCCATTTAGGCACTTTTTTTAGCCAAAGGCTCAGCGCATGCGTGGACAAGGCACATGCACTCATATCCTCACCAGTAGGGAAGGTGAGCGAATACCACAACAGGTGACGTTTTAATTTAAAGTGATTTATTGCTCATGCCTATCCACGGGAATCTAACTCAGAGCACTATTTTGGTGCCAGGTAAAAGTTAACATAATTCAAGAGGGGTTAAACCTAACCTATTTGTGGCTACTTAGAGACTCTAGGCCCGTGATGGAGAACCTATGACACGCAGAGCCTTCTCTGTGGGCACGCCAGCCGTCGCCCCAGCCCAGCTCCACCGTGTATGTGTGCATGCTGGTCTCCAGGTCTCTGCTGCGCATGCATGAGGCGCATATGCGGGGGGGTGCACTCGCATTGCATTTTGAGGGTTCGTGCACATGTACATGCCCCCTCCCCCATGCCCTGTTTTGGACCTGCACCAACCTGGAAGCCAAAATTTTGGCAGGCGGGGCGCATGCGCGCACGTCATGTGTGTGGGCGGGGCGCATGCGTAAGGGGGGGGCGGTGCTTTGGCCACTCAGCACCAAAAAGGTTTGCCATCACTTCAGCTCTAGGCTGAGTCCTCTTGTGATTCCACCCCCAGGTTCTGCCACTCCTTCTCTTGCAAGGAGAGGGCCATTCGAGAGGAGAAAATAGAAGCCACAACTGGCAACTGACTTTGTAAAGTTGGCTTCCTAACACTTGCCACGAATAAGAGTCTATGCAGCAGAAATAAGCAAAGCCCCTCGCTAAATGAGTCACATCCAGTTTTATGACCGCTCAACTCATTAAATGAATCACACAGTTGCTCAGCGAACCCGAGTTCCCCTGTTGACTCTGCTTGTCAGAAGCTCCCTGGAGAGGTTGCAAATGGTGACCCCATGATCCCCCTAGGATGCTACAGCTGTTGTAAATTCATATCGAGTGCCCAAATTTAGATCACATGACCATAGGGACACAGTGATGGTCGTAAGTGTGAGAACTGGTCATAAATCGCTTTTTTCAGCACTGTCATAACTTTGAACAGTTGTTAAAAGGATGGTTGTAATTCAAGGACTACCTGTACCAGCTCTGGAAAGATCTCCATCTAAAAAAAGAAGAGCTTGCTTCTCTGAAACATTCCCATCTTCCTCCAAGCCACCCAATCAGGCAAAATACTGTAGCTTCCAGGTATAATCAAACACAGCATCAAAATTGATTCCGTCTAAAATAATTATGAGCCTTGGCAGCAGCTTAAACTCTTGGCAGGTTGAACCTAGGAAATCCTTTTCCCTCCCATCACACCCTGTCAAGTGCTATTTTTATATAGGGACAGCCTTTTTCCCCAGAGCAAAAAAGAAGAAAAAAAATCCTTGAAAAGGTAGATATAATTGCCTTCTTGTGACAAGGCATAGTGGTTGTACCCAATGAGTTGAGGAAATGAGACTACCATTTTCCACTAGAAATGATTTCCTATTGAAAGAGTGTGTGAAGGCACAATTCTAGGTCCTGTGTAGCTTGGAATTAAGCAACCCTTTTCTTATCCAACTAGCAAGACAAAGTAAGATGTATTTTAGGGTGCTCTTCATTTCTAACCTCCTAAACCAGCGTTTCTCAATCTTAGCCACTTTAAGAGGTCTGTACCAACTTCCACTTAAAGAGCTGAAATCCAGACTTCTTAAAATGCCCAAGGTTGAGAAACGCTGTGCTAAACTGCAAAGGGCAAGCCAGAATAATATCCAGTCCCAGTAACTGTTGTTACCTCTTGATTTTTCATCTCCAGAACCATCCAAGACAAACTTCTCAATTATTTTATCTTTTCATTGATTCATTTACTACTTGGGAAACTTCATTCTGAAAATGGCTCTTTGGTGTAAGCTTCACTGTCAAAGGTCAGTCTGGATTCTCCCATGATCTTGTCTAGGGGTTCAGCCTAAATCCAGAAAGGATTTTTGATCCCATGGTTTTAAAAATGGTGGCTAACAATGTAGGGCTCTCTTAAGTGCCATCTCTTTCTGGTACGTCTTCAAAATTCAGGCAAGGTTTCACACAATTCACACATTCACACAATTTACCTATCTGAGTTACAGAATTAAAGCCATTCTCTTGGAATTAACACCCTATACACCGAATTACCAATTATCCAAGCGAACTCTAGCCACCAAAGTAAGCAACAGTAGAAGTAACCAAATTTGAAATTAACCAAGTTGGCTGTTATTTTGCTAATAATAACCATGGTTAAGTGGAAGCCAAGCCGCTATGCTACACCTGCATGTGAGTTATCATTATCGCTTAGAAGCAAGCCTCACAAAATGCAACAGGACGTATTTCCAAGACAAGCTCACATTTTAAATTCATAATTATTTCAAGGATTGTCCAATTCAACAGGACGTATTTCCAAGACAACCTCATATTTTAAATTCATAATTATTTCAAGGATTGTCCAATTCAACAGGACGTATTTCCAAGACAACCTCACATTTTAAATTCATAATTATTTCA